GAAGGCAATTACATGTATGTGCGCTGAGCCAGCTGCCTGAGGCCGAGCGATGCTGATGACTACCATGAATATGCCTCGCCTTCTTTGCATTAGAGTTGTGCTGTTCCTGTGCCTTTTGCTACAGCGTGTGTGCTGGTTCACCGTTTTAGCCGTTCCGGCATGCATCGTCGCTGGTGTCGAAATCTAGGGCGCGTTCGAATTGTCAATCTTTGACTTTTCGAGGAGATTCGTTTTTCTGAAGAGGTGGCCTTATTGGCCTCTTCAGAAAAACGAAGCTCCTCGAAACTCCTCGCAACTCCACAACCTCACCCGATGGGAGACGTGGATTAGTTCCGAAGAGTTCGGAATAGCTACGTCCCGTAGTACATGTACGTGGAGATGGTCGATCTGATCGGACGTCATCATCGCCATGGTAATTCCACTGAAAAATTCTAAAAATGATAGAAACCGTTCTAATTGGACACTTCAACTAATCTCTTTTAAAAATTTGTTTGAACAGTTGATGAAGACAATTCGAACGCGGCCTTGGTTCATTCCAACAATTTTACCATGATCGTAGTGTTGTCCTGCGCAAGATGTTATCGTTCATTCATTTCTATACAGTATGATTTGCCCAATGGCAATGCTATTATCCAGCAGTAGGATTACTCAGGCCAGGGCTAACAATACATTGCTGCCACGGGAAGTGATGTCAGCAGGCTCAGCACTCAGAGTCAGCCTGGGCAGCCAGCCGGCCTGGGTCGACCGGTCGTGGCACGACATACATGTCATACTAGTAGTAGTACTAATAGTAATAATACTGAGGGAAGGAGAGCGCGAGGAAATCGAAACATGTACCGGTATCTGTTTGCAATGGGAGAGCAACGCGGGTTTGTGAACACAAGCAAACAAATAGAAATGAGAGCACCAGTAACGAAAACGAGGCGAAAAGAGATGAGAACGTACATGTACGTGATTGTATTGTAGGTTAGAAAAGCAGTTCCAAAGGCAAAGGGTAGCCAGGGATTGTACGCGTGCATACAGCCTAATTGCAGGTACTAGGTGCGACAGTAAACACGGCCAGTGCAGCCGTGGACAGCACAACAGCACAAACTATTCTAAAGTGCAACAACACAAAGACAGCAGCCAAGAGTGTGCAAACGCAAGAACAGCAGAACAGCATGAACTTCCGAAATTATTGTCCTTAAAAAGGTAGACATGTTCGGCGGGAAAGCGGAGAAATGGAATGACAAGGAAAAAAGGGAGAAAACGAAAACGTTCACTAAAATTGAAGTCACATACACGTACATGTACAATGCTGCAGACACGCTGCAATGTATCAATGTTAGGACAGCATTTGGAACTACATGTACATGTAAGTTAGACTACGTACGTGGAGGGTACTGGACCTTTCCTCGGCCATGAATCCAGAAAGGCTGGCGCTGGACGATTGCTGGTATCAGTCGTCATCATCTATTAGCGCCAAACCATCCTCACTTATTCGTAGCAGAAGGAGATTTGATTCAATTTCAGTACAGCAGTTTAAAGATGGCGATGGCAATAACGCCAATGACAATATAGAAGACTGCCTTTCCTTCATCACTTCCCTCCACCGAGCAATCTGCGTCTAAAACGAATTTTAATCCCTGTGCTTTCTCCTTTTTGCCGCCATCCCCTGCCATTGCTATTCAATGGAGGACAATTGCTGCAATTGCCTTCCTTCACCACAGTCAATCACTGACATATAAGCAGTAAGGCCGTTGTGAAGCGCTGGAATGATTATACTAGGAGGCAGACAGAGTAAGCTCTATTTTCTTGACAACGGGCACTGAACTTCTTCAGACTAAGACTAAGAATGCGAACGCACCTTATGTAAACGTTTTATAGTGCGGTGCACGCAGCAAGCCTGCTGAGTGGAGCCGTGATCAGGTGATCGGTCCCGGCCCGGCTACTTGGAAGTCTCTTGGGATCTGGAAGTGACATCGAGAACCGTATCAATGTCGCTAACCGAGCGTTTGGCACTATAGCCTGGAAGAGACACACTTTATTATCTAGAATGCTTATGTTTACCACTCTTATCCTTCCGGTTCTACTATACAACTTCGTGGCTGAATTGTCGAGCATGATATCTTTCGAATGCGACATCGCAGATTTTCACCGATGGTTGCATTGGAAAGCGGAGCTCTTCCGCTTCTTCCTAGATATATATTTTTATAATTCCGCTAAGAATCGATCGAGTTACGAATGTTTTAGTGTCCATTCACCTACGCACGGGTGGTAAAGGGTTAAAAGGTAACAGTGCCTTAGCTACCTGTCAATGTGGTTTAACCATGACGTCTGGCGCTTTGCAGCAAGCATCTTTTCCGCATGCCCGTGGTTCAACTCGCAGACAGGCCTCAGGAGGCCAGCACAGGCTAGCTGTCGCCTCCTACGAGATAAATAATTATTACATGTACATGAACTAAACCTCTACAGTTTGCACTACTGGAGCTGTGCCTGTGCCTGTGCCTGTGCTGCACGGCGGCGGGCTTCGCCCGCCGCCGTGCAGCCCAATACGTGGCTCAAAAACCTGATTTTTTCGACTTGGAGCAAAATTCTGCACACTTTCACGTGTTTCCATGATACGACAAATTGCGCACGGTCTGCTCACATTCAAATACAGTGCTGCCAACAAATGACAGCGTACAACAAAAAAATCTTTCCTTGCAAGGGCACATTTTCGGCCATAACTCCTGAACGGCTGGTCAGATCGGGACACAATTTTCAGAGAATTTGCAGCTATTCATGCTCTTTCAACTGATGTAGCACTCAATATGAATTTACAAATTCGATTTTTCAGCGAATTTTTTGGGTAGTCTGCCACCTTAATATTGTCTTCGTCTGAGACCGCTCGCTTGAGGCCAGTTCCTGAGAGACGATCTCAGATCGAGATCCCTCCCACTTGCGGAAATCCAGAAAACATGTGGTCAGACGTTATTTTCCCGTTCTACATCCTCTGCCTGCGCTGTCTTCTTCTCCTGAGGTTGCGCGGAGACAAATAGTTGGCCACAATGCTTTTCTTTCTGATAGCATTTGACTGTAGGCCTTGCATTACAACCGTCTACGACAAACTGTACGTGCTTCACCAGGAAAGTAAGACACGCGCTGCTGAGCACTCAGATCGACTTGGTACTGCGTCCATGAGAAATTCTACAAGTGGATTTTTTCGATCCTGCTGAGCTGGACTCGGCAAAGGCAATTATTTGGAACAAGCTATTTCTGTTTATCGCCGCTCCATCATCCATGTCCACATTTATCAATGGATCAGTGTTCAGTATCGCTAGAGATGCTGTGGCCAAAGCCTATGGCATAACAGGAAAACTCCTCTTCGTCTGTTTGATATTCTCTTCGTGTAGATCTACGTCAAAGGTCCTCCATGGCTCTCCATGATTTATAAAAAACTCCTCCTAAATCATCGTTACGGATTTTGTGTAACAGCCTCAGTTGCAACGTTGGGCATGCTACATCACCTGTACATTTACCTGACTACATTGCTACATAAAGACTTTATGTAGCAACGGCATTATATAGTCAGGTAAATGTAGCATTAGTACTAAAGGTGTTACGTGTGTACACAATCACAAAGTCATGTGCCGGGACAATATGGCGTTCCACCTCGTGGGCCGTGGCTATAGCCGATTTTTGCCAAAACCTTAGATTTCCCGCCAATGAATCTCTTTATTTCGCTCAAAGCTAACAGAATGCTCATCTTGTTCCTCTCTAATGCTCCATAATGCTCTGATGCTCGGATAGTCTTCTAATGCCGGCATTATCCGCTGGACCCTACCTTGGGTCCGTTTGGACACCACAACCCGGAATGAGGGTTAAAGCATGTCTCCTGGCATGTCAGTGTTGCTGGTACTCAGACTAGGCTCCAGCGGATTATGCTTGCGAAATCATGGAATTGTGCTTTAATGGATTCTCGCATTCTCCTCGCAAAATCCTCCTAATATGCTTTGGCATGCAGTGATTATTCCCTTTGTTGTACTTATGGAGCCTCAAAGGAATATGTGCCTTCTTCTCACTTGCAAGTGGCCATAAATACAACAAAATATATGAGTATCCCCATACAATGGTGTCCATTCATGCTATAGATCAACACGGAAAAGAGAAAACAATGCTAATTCTTGTATTCATTAGTTGACTTCTTGGGTAAAAAGATTTTTTCATTGCCAAATTAGTTTGAGTTACCTTGGAAAATTAATTAATTATCATGTTCAACTGTCTTCGTAATCGTCATACTCGTCCAACCGATGTTACCCTCACCCTGCGAATAATCAGCTCATTTCTCCCGTAGCTCCACCTCTTCTTCCATCATGTTCGAACATCAACTATACCTCTACTTTTTATTATTAGAGCAATATCTACAGCCTGCACAGGCATCGCTGCTAAAATCCAGAGGTCATGAATTCGTAACATGCATTAATTCGTACATGTACGCAGAGTTTTGCGGACTAACCGTAACTATCTCGTCCGCCCCGGGATTTTCTGATAAAGGGTGATTAACTCGCATCTTCCGTTACATGTACTGTGTCATTGTGAGAGAGAACCTTGAAGAAAACGAGTTTGAGCATACAATGATGATCAGGATTGCCATGATTTCTAACCTGCTTTTCATTGAAACCACTATCTGCATGACCTACGAACCCTTTACCATGCAGACCACCAGCACTGATCAGGTGCACTGCACACACTTGTGTAGCCTATAATACTAGAACTGTGGTTCAATCATGTAGTTATGCTCCTACCTCCACTAGGATGCCAAATTATGCCCCAAAATTTCAACCACCAAATTATGCCAATAACTATGCCGGCATAATCCGCCCGTGCCTAACTCAGACTCGGCAGCTACAGTAGCTGGCAACTGTCGTGCGTGGCATGATACATGTACGCCAATGACTCATGTGTGACATCAACTGCATTTTCTGTCCAGGCGCTGGTCACGTGGGCAACAATGTTAACAAGGAAATACTGCAGCCAGAACAAGGATATCGAAACATTTTTTTTGCAAGCGCGAGTGATGCGAAGGCAGCGGATAGGCCAAATAAATGGAATTGCCAAGAATTATAATAGGAGAAGAAAAGGTATTACGAACATGAATTCACTATGCAACTCGCAATACTGGCGTCACTTCACAATACATGTACATGATCATCTTTTATGACCAGGTCTAGACTGGAGGATACGTGGACATAATCTTTCCTGGGTCATGCTGACGTACATCATAATCAATATGCACATGTACATGTATGAAAGCAGCGTGTACACCTGAGCTCCACGGCATGGAAGAAGTGATGCACATTAGGAGAGAAAAGGTAGAAATACATTTACCATGTAGCGGAAAGCGCTGGGACGTTACTGGTGTTCTTCGTCATCGCACACGAGGCCGAGGGCTAAGCCTTTGTCTTTGCAGTCATCCAGTCCAAGCCTAAGCTCTTTTCTTGGCAGTCGGCTCGGTCATAGAGGTACAGGCGTAAACGGCGGCTACTCCAACGACGGCCCCTGCGACAAAGGGTACAGCAACAGTTGCAACAGTTGCTAATGCTACTGCATTTGCACTTCCCGCCAGCGTTACGGCGATTTTACATCCCCACCCCGTTACCTCCATTGTGGCTTCTACTTTGTCCATTACGAGGATAATGACTGCAATAACCTTGAGCACAGTCAATCACTCGGAAATCCTTAGTTGGAAAACTGCAGGACTAAAGCGGCTATCAAGCGTCGCAATGACTCAGATCCACAATAAGGCGAAGCGACCGCAATACAGTGGGTATTCGCTGGCAGCAGTGACCATGCACTCGAGTCACAACCAACGTATCTGAAGCAGACAGAGTAAGCTCTATTTTCTTCGCAACGGCCACTGAAGACCAAGACTAAGAACGCGCGCGCCTGATCGAAAGTTCCGTATTGCCGTACATTCACTGTAGGGATATCAGCACGGACACTGCGCAGGGCTTTGCGCAGTCAATGATGTAATCGATGTTTGAACGCGACGATGGCAGACTGGAAAAAAATGGCGATCGCCACAAACCGGCGAAAATGCAGCTCGGGAAGTCGGTATTTGACGACTCCCCAACGCAGCTCAACCTTTATTTTGAAGTGTGAACATTTTTCAGTAGAGTAGAGAGAAGGAGAGAGGCAGAAAGAGAGCTAGAGAGAAATGTTACTCAAGCTAATGCTTCAGTGGAGGTTCTGGGCACGCTGATAGGCTAATATAATCTGACGATTTCTACAGGTTGTGCCGTTTGTTGCAGCAACTACGTGAAAATGCGTCGCCAGGAGATCGGCGATAGTGAATTCGTCTTAGAGTAGATTTGGCTACCGCCATCCTCGGGAGCCACTCCTGTTGCCGGTCACAACAATCAAACCAAGTCTCCACACGACTACTCTGTCTCAAACAAAACCCTTTCCACACCTTACAATCGTTGTCGTAGCAACAACGGCCATATGCGCTGTGATATGTCAGAATTGCAGAAATGCACAAGAACAAACGTTCGAAAGTGGTCACCTTTCGCGCCACTTGGATCCTGAACTCTTGTTGGCTGAAATGTCGAGCCTGATATCTTTGGAGTGCGACATCGCAGCTCTTCACCGATGGTTGCTATGGAAGGCGGAGCTCTTCTGCTTCTTCCTAGATATATATTTGTTTTAATTCTGCCAAGAATCGATCGAGTTACGAATGTTTTAGAGTCCATTCAACTACGCAGTAAAGGGTCAAAAGGTAATGGTGTACTAGCTGTGCTAGTACTTGTTAGCAACAATCCGAACTAGCGCGCACACTGCACTGCATTGCTTTGTACTGCATTCAAGACTGACGTCATGCGCTTTGTTTTGCTGCGTAATCACAAATGGCACCAGCCCATTTTGCGGAAAAGAAAAACAAATCTTGCTTGCCCTGTTGTGCTCTTCCAGACAACGGATCGTGCTTCAGCAGTGTTTCTTTTCCCACCATCCCTCCCTATCCAACTTATTCACACCATCATAATTATCATACCCACTAATCGGGTCCACTCTCACAACTGGTGTTATCTAGCTATTTGCTGCGGCTCTGCCTTGCGCTATATTACATCCATTTAGCATTGCAGCTCTACGTTGAGCTAACAGCAGCTCTACTTTGAGCTAACAGCAGCTCTACTTTGAGCTAACAGCAGCTCTACTTTGAGCTAACCGCAGCTCTACTTTGAGCTAACAGCAGCTCTACTTTGAGCTAACAGCAGCTCTACTTTGAGCTAACCGCAGCTCTACTTTGAGCTAACAGCAGCTCTACTTTGAGCTAATCGCAGCTCTACTTTGAGCTAACAGCAGCTCTACTTTGAGCTAACCGCAGCTCTACTTTGAGCTAACAGCAGCTCTACTTTGAGCTAACAGCAGCTCTGCTCTGAGCTAACAGCAGCTCTGCTCTGAGCTAACACCAGCTCTACTTTGAGCTTCAAACCAGTTGTTTCGAAACCAGCACTCCTCAATCCAAAGATGCCTCTTTGTTGACTTGTTTGTGTGAGGGATGGGGCTAACAGTGCCTTAGCCAGCTGTCAATGTGGTATAACCATGACGTCTGGCGCTTTGCAGCAAGCATCTTTTCCGCATGACCGTGGTTCAACTCGCAGACAGGTCTCAGCAGGCCAGGACAGGCTAGCTATCATCTCCAACGAGATAAAATAATTATTACATGTACATGAACTAAACCTCTCCACTTTGCACTAGTACTGGAGCTGTGGTGCCAGGAAAACGTGCAGATACATGTACAGTCGAATGTCAGTTATCCGGACACCAGTTATCCGAGCACGTCGGTTATCCGACAAGCCCGAGAGTGGTAATGTTATGACTCTCAACAGTAGAATTCTAAAAAATAAATAAAACAAACTTTTTTTGTATATTATACCGTGTAATATGCATTTACTTGAAGTAGATGTGGTCAAGTATGCTACCGCATACAATGCCATAAGCGCGACGGCCATTCCCACTTGAGAACTGGTGGTTTGCAACAATCTGCATGACCTCCGAACCGTTTACCATGCAGACCACCAGCACTGATCAGGTGCACTGCACACAATTGTGTATCCTAGAACTGTGGTCCAATCATGTAGTTATGCTCCTACCTCCACTAGAATGCCAAATTATGCTCCAAAATTTCAACCACCAAATTATGCCAATAACTATGCCGGCATAATCCGCCGGTGCCTAACTCAGACTTGGCAGCTACAGTAGTTGGCAACTGTCGTGCGTGGCATGATACATGTACTGTCGCGGACATGGAAGTCCGGCTGCACGTCTAGCAGCCCCAGGGCGCTGGCCTTGCAGCCGTAGCACGTACATGTATTAATGGAGGTTTGCACATTGCAAACCGTAGTTAACATTCACGAAACCAACAAGCCAAAGGCGCCATGGCAACCAGTAAACGAACCCGCAAAAATAACAATAATTAGAATAAGACAGAAAAAAATCAAGTTAGTGTGACAACAAATTCAAGGTTCCCTTTCCGGTGAAAGTGCTGCAACCGAGTGTGTCATTGCTGACCAACAATTTGTTTTCATTTGTTCCAGTCGTTTCCTCTAGCCTCCTCAGTTGCCGAGGAGCATAGTAGTCTTTCCACAGCCGTATTCCTAGGAACGTACTGCCAGTTTCATCATGGCCTTCACTTCTGACCAGCAGCGGTCTCTTGCGGAGATGATTTCGGCTTCGGTCTCGTCGGCGTTGTCGGCCCACTCCGCATCTCGAGGACCGGATAGGGGAGCGTCTGATGGGCCATCAGATCAAGCCGGTATGTTTTTGACTCATGATTCTGCCCGTGCTGAGATGCCGGCCAGTTTAGATTCTGCCCCCGCATTCCCTGCATTCCCTGCATGCGTATGCCATGTAAGTAATGAACCCCATTTCAAAAATTTGCAAGGTCGAGTTTTTTGATCTGGCGCTCCTACTTCCCGCCAAGTACGAGAGGCCCTCTGTCCCTCGAACCCGCTCTCACTGTCAGGCTATATCTGCATCCGCAGAGATCGACCTCCGGAAGACAATCGGTCAGCACATTGTAGCCGTGGGTATGGGGGTGTTGCCGTACTTGTCCGTTCGGACTCCTTTCCGTACGTCTCCCCTCGTGCCGACCTTCAACGCCCTGGCTGCGAGTCTGTGTGGCTTGAACTTGGCTCCCCCTCTACTCAATCTCAGAATCCCATCTTACTATGCTGCATGTATCGACCACCCTCACAGAGCACAATGCAATTGTCGTACTTTTGTGACATGTTTGTTGAGGCATTACAGTCAGTCTGTTTAGATTCTTATGATCTGCTAGTGACTGGCGATTTAAACGCCCACAACTCAAGCTGGTGTCCCACCGATTCTACCTCGAAGGCTGGTGATCTCCTTAGCACAGTATTTGCTGCTCTTGGGCTCCACCAGATGGTTGACTTCCCCACTCATTCCTCGCCTAATGGCTCTGTTTCGTGTCTGGACTTGGTGATCACCAACCGACCACGCCTCGTGCGCTCAATTGATCAAGCACCTCCCTTGGGTATGTCTGACCATATACAGATTGTTTGCACTTTATGTTACGCCCCTATTTCGAACTACTTCCCCAACTCTGCCACTGGTCCTCCCTCTTCACTGTATCGCTTCAAACAAGTACCTTCGCACCTTTGGCAATTAATCAACGCTGATTTAGCTGGCTACAACTGGTCCTCTCTGAACTCGTACACTGATGTTAATGACGCACTTCATCACTTTGATTGTGAGCTCCAGTCCGCCTTCCGTCGGCACCTCACTTCATTCGGAGCCACCCACACTGTGACATCTCCACGACCCCGCATGCAATCTCCACCATGGGTTACTGCTGAGCTTAGGTCTGCTGTAAAACGCAAGCGTGATCTATATAGTGTGTACAAAAAATATCCGACAGCAGTAAATCATGCAGCTTATAACCGACAAAGGAATACTGTAAAGCACCTGTCTCGGCAAGCACATCGTCAATATATACGCTCCATCCAAGCATCACTAACGTCACCGAATCGACCTACACTCTTTCAGTTTGTGCGAGCACAGCGGCACACTTCCGGCCGTGTCATGCCCCAAACGATGATAGCATCCGACGGTACGGTCGCCACGTCCCCCAAGAGCATAGCTGATGTTCTGAACACTCAGTTCACCTCATTTGGGCTACCTGATGATCCTTCGTGGCGCATTCCCCCTTTGTCCCAATCGCCTTTCATATCTGTTCCGTTCCGTACAATCACTGTCACTACGTTTCAAGTTCGGAAATATCTGAAGCGCCTGAAATGTGGAAAGTCTCCCGGCTCAGATGGGATCCCGAATGAAGTGCTGCAGTCTCTTGCACCATCAATAGCCTATCCTCTCGCCATTATTTTTAATATGTCATTTCGAACTGGTACATTCCCACAGGATTGGAAATCCGCCATCGTGACACCGCTTTACAAGAATAAAGGCTCCCGTGCTTGCCCGGCAAACTACCGCCCCATCTCTCTGCTGCGCACAGTTTCCAAACTTTGTGAGCGTATTGTATTCGATTCCCTCTACCTACACATCGCTCCGGCTCTCTCACCAGCTCAGTCGGGATTCTGCCGTGGTGACTCAACTCAATACCAGGTGACTCGACTTGTCCAAGACATAGCGACAAAGAGGAACTGTGGGGAGCACGTGGGAATGGTGTTTTTCGACTTGGCTAAGGCATTCGACACCGTTTGGCATCGTGGCTTACTTGCCAAGTTGAAGGTCACCTTCCGGGTGGAGGATGCTGCCTTGCGTTGGATATCCTCGTATCTGTCTGCTCGTTCTCAGGCTGTTCGCTTGTTCTATTTCTTGTCTGATCCCCTCCCTGTAACGTCTGGAGTGCCTCAAGGTTCCATTCTGGGTCCTTTG